CCCCCACCCCCCCGGCATCCAAAATCCTTGATTTTGATTCTGCTTTCCTTCTCTTTCTTCCTCCCCTTTCCTCCCACCGTCACATTTTAATCTAACGCTTGGTGCATCGCTTGGAAATAAATTTTCCTTTGAAACCTTGTGTAAAACGCTGTTTGCGTTGTACCGTGTACTTTGTAGGGGCTGCGGTACAGGGACTAGCTGCCATCCAGACTTTGAACTCCGCTTGCGTGGGTGACAGCTACACACACATTTGATTAGTGAGCTGCAAAGGAAAAAAATAATAAAAAAAACCCAACACCACACACACACACACAAAAAAAAAAAAAAAAAGAAAAAAAAAAACCTGCTAGAAAAAGCCCTGTTACAGCTCCGGTTCAAGGCGGAGGAATGCTGAGGGGGGAGGTTTTAACTCCTCTTTTAGAAAGATGCTGAAAAGCGTCCGCCCGTGGTCGGCGGTCTGTGAATTTTTAAGCAGCTGATCTTGTTCCCAGGCAAAATCCTTCCCCCAGAACTGCCTCCTTGCCTTTAGCCTGGGCCATGAACGACGCCCTGGTTTGCTGCTGCTGTGTCCTCGCTGTGGAGACTTGGGGAAGTCTGAGGGACAGGGTTAAACTTCGCGAAGCACATGGAGCCCCGTCCTGTGCTGGCTCATTAATATGATGCTGTCATAGGACTGCAGCACTGCAGTCCGCGGAGAACCCCGAACCGCCCCAGGTGTCCGCTGGGGTCGCTTTGCAAACACCGGCAGCTACATCCACCGCTTCCCCTCTCCGGAGTTTTAGATGATAAACGCAGAGAAAAGGGTTTATTATCATCGAAGCAATCGCAGGTTCTAAATCTGTGCCCGTTAATTTCACTCAGAGTTTTCTCCACAGGCACAAAGCATCCCCCTGGATTTATTTGGAAGTCAAAACAAAATTACTGTCTATTACGGCATCGCATTTGTTGCCTTTTAGGGGAAAAAAAAAAAAAAAAAAAAGCTACGTTACGATCTGGTTTATTCTTCTTTCCCCTGTTAAGTCAAGGCTGGGAAGGGGGAACAGATCATGCTTTTATACATATGGAAAACTTACTGTAAAAGAAGACATATGGTTAGCTGAGGTGCTTGGGAGTTTTTATTATCCTTTTAAATCTTCTGAAAACAAGCGAGTGGTGCTGAACAGCAAGTAAGGAGGGGAATATTGAACTTTGCAATAGAACTACCTTGATGCCTGGATTGTTTGAAAATCCATTTACCCAGGATGCAAAATAAATTGTTGCTTTATAACCAAGCAGGGGTGGCGTTTGACTTCTTTATTTAATATCGAAATTCAAGCAATGCGAACTTTATACAAAATACTGTCATTTTCATAATGCATATTGATTACCTTAACATTCAGGGTATTTAGATGAGGAAAAGCTTGCATTGACACAAGGACATGCAGAAATCCTTCTGAAATAGAAAAAAACCCCGTTGTTTTAATTTAAACCACAGGTTTGCACTGTTTGTTTCTGTTCTTTAACCGGCTGCAGGTGGACAGTACTCCTGCCACCTTCCCCTGAAGGTGATCTGAAGGTTAGAATGAGTCAGGGAAATCAGGCTAAAATGTTGCCTTCTTTCTGATGATCAACTAACCCCTTTTTTCCTATCCCTACCCACTTTGGAGATTTTGAAACGCAGAGTAATATTTCTGCTTATAAGGAACTTTTTTTTTGCCCCAAAGTTTAACAAACAGGCATTGCTACTTCGGAGCAAACAGCAGCCTGATGTCTCAGGCTCTGAAGCAGAAGCAGGGAAGGAACAGGTACTCCCACAGGATGGAAAAGCAGCAGCAGCATCGATTTTAATCTTGATTAGACACTATTGACAAACAAAGAAGTACTACAGGAGGATGAGACTGAGTTCTGCAGCTTCCTTAAAAAAAAAAAAAAAAAAAAAGGAAAAAAAAATACAGAAGATGGAGTTGCACAACAGCCTGACTGCTTCCAGATAAAGGAGTTTACAATATATCCAATGAGAATGAATTAACTTGAATATCTTTTTTTTTTAAATGATAGAATCGCATGAAGAGAAGAAAAGGAGGGTTTGGGTGGGGCTTTTCATTCCTGTTACAGGAAAACAGAAGAATGGAGACACCCAGAGAGATAGTACAATGCGGTTGGTTGCAACTATTAACAAAAATTTATCAGCTTGAAGGGGGCTTCTCTCATTCAGCGGCTGCCTGTTTTTAACATAAGCCTGACTTAAGCTTAAGCAATTTAAACCTGAATAGGTCTTAGTGATACCCATGCGAGGAGGGCAAACAGTAACATCAGAAGGCATTTTGTCAGAGCGAAAAAAGATGAAGGAGATCACAATTTGATCCACTTTTTATTTTCCACACCGCAGAGTCGTGTAAATTGGTGTGACTCTCCAAGCCAAGGTTTTTGTCAGCGGAAGACCTTGATGTCCTAGAACCTTATTTGGTCACTATAAACTCGTAATAAATACTGGCCCAGATAATCAGCTGGTGTAAATCGGTCTCATCCAGCAGAGCCAAGAGAGCAAGGGCAGACATTTCAGTCCAGCTGAGGGTGTGACCTAACAATCCTTCCACAGCCGTGGCAGAAAACACTTAGATTTATGCACGAAGGGCCTAGGGTTGGACGCTTCTTGAAAAAGGCTTTAGGACCTTCATTCATTCCTAAGGATGCCAAGACGTGATGAGCGCGCACAGCACGCGGCAGGGCTGGGCCAACGCTTGAATGAGCAGGGCTGGTGTCCGGCCTCGTGGGAGGCTGAACTTTTAAAAAGCATTTACTTTTTGTTTCTCTTTGTCTAATTTGCTCAGGATCTTGAGATTTGAAATCTCAGACTTGGAGGGGGTGGTGGTGTTAATGGTGGGTTATCATGATCATTCACAAATTATCTCCAGCATCGTTTGGGGACACTTGGTCCTACGAAGGAAGGGGGAGGCAGCGAAGGGGAGGGGACGGAACCGTGGGCATTGCACCTCCATCTCCCTCAGACATGCAGGGAGCGATGGTGAGGCCGTGCAGCCTAACGCAGCTAAGCCAGGCTTTAGGATAGCGTGCCACCGCACAAAACACGGAGGTACTACTGGGCAACGCTTCTGCTTTGAAAAAATGTACATGTTCGTTTTCTTTCCGTTCTCAACTGGACTTTCTCAAGACAGAGCTGTAACACAATAACATTTTCCCAACATGTCCCACTTTTCATCATTCCCTTTCAGCCAACGGTTGTATTTCAGGACCTTAAATCAAACATTTCCAGACGCTTGCATGATTTTCTTCATGCAGAAATGCTTCGTGTTGCATTTGAAGATAATAAATTTCTGAAAACACAGTCCTAAAGCAGCATTTGCATTCAATTTACCCCTGAATGAAAATTTCTTGCAAATTCCTACAGATCATCACCGAGCTTATTGCGGCTTTCGCTTTTCTGGATTTATTTGCTGCCAGAGCAGTTAAATGTCCAGCCCTGCGTTTCCTTCAGTGTCAATACCAAGGATGATTTCACATTTCATTTACTAACTTAAAAACGCTAAACATTTACCGCCCTGCCTACATTTTTCAGTGGTGTTTTCCTTGCATTTTTAAAACACTGCATTGCACACTGATTTTATAATGCCTGTAATGCAATGTTCTCTCTCATGGCCACCTCCTGCCTTGTTTCAAAGGGCCAGTTCTTTAGTTTGTGTGAATTCACAGAGCGGAATGCCAAATTACTCCAGCAGAGGACTTAGCCTAGAGTCTTACGATTAATAATAGAAAGATATTCAAGAAAAGTGTCAGATCCTGCTATAGATTATCGCAGCTTTCTCTGGCGTTATTTGGGATAATGCACGCACTTGGGTGAGAGGGAAGGGAGGTTTTGTGCCCCCGTCTCCATGAGAGCTATTCCTGTCTCCCATTTTTCACAACTATATTCAAGCAACATATGGAATCCTTGGCCAGCAAAACCCCTGCCCATGCTACTTGAACTGGATGTTGAACTCCGTTCCACCGGTTCTTTAAACTGCTCTTTGACCAGTGAACTGCAGATGGGTGATGAACTGGCTGTGTGGGAAGCAGATTCAGCACTCAAACCAACCGTGATCCTTCTTAGGGACAACATTTCTGAGGCGATGGCCGTGTCCGTTAGACAGATATTGGAAAACTTGGTCCCTACCAGAGAATCGCTTTGTAGATTCCCCTATCAGAGAAGCAAAAAACTGGCACAGCAGAAATAAGAGTGCCTAGAACAGCTTATTTTAGGCACAAAGAGTTTGGAGGTGAAAGTTAATGAGATAGAAACAAACTCGCACCTGCTCAAGAAAGGAATGAGCTTCAGTGAAGACACTGAGCCTCAGTTTCCTTTCTGGTGCTGTTCTTCTCTTCCATCAGTTGGACACTTCTGATGCTGGGGTCCTGTTATAACACCAGAGTGGTGTAGGGGGGTTTGGGTGCAGGATTGGATTTAGATCCTCTGCCCGTTTATCAGAAAATATTGAAAAAAAAAAAATGTAGCAGCTGTAAGACCACTCCAAGGGCTTCGATTGTATTTCTGTTAATATTTAAATGTCTTTTAGCCGTAGTAGCGCCGTTTCACCCCAGCCAGCTTTATCCAGGTACCTCAGTAGAATTAACTCGTGTGCCAGCTGGGAGGAGTGGATCGAGGTGCAGCATAAATGAGTGTGGAGAGTGTCCTGATGCTTCAGATGGATCCTCAACCCCAGTGAAATTCCAACGCGGCCTCGGATGAGGCTGAAAGTACTGATTTATCCCGGGATGGGAAAAAGAGTTCACAGCAGAGATACATCTACAGAGTTGACACAGCTTAAAACCAGCTTCAGTGGCTTGTTAAAATGTTGAC